TTTTTTAAATTTTATTTTATTATTTTTTTGTGTGTGTGTACCGTCAAATCAGAAAAGGCTGTAAATCGCACAAGAGATTACCCATCTATTTCCCACAGAGCATCTGGTGGATTGAACCACTAGAGAAGTGTAAACTCTGATTTAGGAGTGCAACCTTATATGGTCTACACCACCAGAGTCCCCTAGAAACAGGAGTAAAATCCTACTTAGCTGTCTTGAAGATAAGTCAAGTCATTGACATCACTGTCATTCTGAGACTGTTCACAGCTGGCCCTCCATTGAGTTTCCACAGCTGTAAATTGAATGAGAAATTGTCCACCTTTCTCTCTCAAACTTCCAGAGAGGTACAGCCTTTAAGGTAGCAGCACAACTCCCTACCAGAGCTCCCTTTCAATCTCCAAGAAAGAAAGAAAAATCAGCATTGGCTACAGCTGATGAGTCTCTCACTGCTCATTTTTCTGGCCTTCCCTACAATGAGGTAATAACAGAGCCGGTCATGCCAGTCATACCCAACCCACATGTCTGGTGCAGGCATCCTTAACTGCCTCTTCCATGCTTTCCAGAAGTTTTATCAAAGAGCCAGGGAGCATTTTAAAGCTCTGGTTGTTTGGGGACGAGTTTTAATCCCAGAAGCAATTTAAAGTTTGGTGAGAGAGGCCACACAGGGGCTTAAGGCCTGTATCCTGTAAAGCCAATTAGACAAGTTATAGACAGCTCTCTGTAAATCTTAACTCTCACCACAAATAAATGTTGCTTTAAAACTTCCATGCTGTCTTTTTGACCTTTTTGGAAGAGGTACTTCAGAGACCACTGTGACCAGGTCTTCCTTCATAACACTTTCTCCAGGAATGGCATCTACTTCTTTTTTTTTTTTTTTCATTTTAATAATTTTGATGAACATTTACAGATATTTTGGATTTCTATTCATTCATTGTTGCACTTTTCTCCCTGCCTAGACCTCCCCACCACCAGTTTGCTCCCTCAGTTTGCTCCTCTCTTTGAAAAAGTAAAAGAAAAATTCTTTCTTTGGTATACAATCCCCCGCACCCCTCCCACCGCCCCAGGTACACTCCACTATGCATCCTTAATTCTGGACTCTTGTGATAACCATAATACCCTATTATATATCGCTTTTAAATTATTCTCTCCCTCATCTGTTTCAAGGCATAATTTATCCAGTTTTTCTCAGTCTTACC